GTGAGGCATTCTTATATATTATCATTAAATTTATCTGGGGCTAAGCTGAGTCCTACCCCAATTGTGCAATTTCGATTTCCACCTATCAGCCAGGTAGCAATTACTTTCTTTATTCTTTTCACCCCATTGTGGCTTTTATTTGATTCATTCAGTCTGAGCTGTTTAAGATGAATCCAGTACTATAAAACTAGAAAATCAGGAATCCAAAAAAGTGTGATAGGAAGAAGCTGGAAGAATATCAGGTTTTCAGCAATGTATTTCCTTTTTTCTCACAAAGCACATTGTCTCTAGCCCATGAGACATCACCTGGGATATTTTATAAAGAGAAACTGAGATAATGTAGAAACTACCACTTTCAGCTAAGGCTATTAATCCAAACAACTACCATGGATTCTCCATGTGGTCTCTCAGCTTCTTTGTGAACTAACAATTAGACATCATCCCAAGAGGAAGAGACAAAAACTATATCAACTTTTATGACAGAACTTATATAACACATAGCATAATTTCTGCCACAGTAACACGCATTTCCTTGTTTAGGTGAAGGAAATTTAGATTCTGCCTCTCAATGAGGAAAGTTGGAAGAGCCTTTGAATAGGAGAGATCACTGAATGCCAGTTTGGAAAATTCTGTCTGCCACATGCCGTGCAGTAATCAACACCCACGATAAAGATAAAATTTCAAACCCAGAGATTGTCAATTGAATGATCTCTTGTCCAGCAGATACCCCAGATAGCAAATTTATGTACATCTACATTAATGCACAGACATAGGCATGCAAAGGGAGGGGTTGACAAATGAGATTGTTACATTCTACCTGTTTCCAAGATAGTTTCAGTAATACCTATTGGGTAAGGGTAGAGAACAAGGCCACTGGACTCATTTAAAATACCGGTGCTGTTGCTGGTGGTAGACCACACCCCTTTGATTTATGCAAAATGGAGGAAGGAGAAGCAGCAGACTCTGTAGGAAACTCTCAGCTACCCTCTTCACCCATCTCTGTCACCCAGGAAACTTCCTGGGAAATACAGGACTGACGAGTCTCTCCACAGCACCGACCCCCTTGTCCAGCCTTCAAGGTGCCTCTGAAATTTCCTTGCTCTGCACAGCACGGGAGAGGGGCCCTGCTGTGTGATTCTTGTGGAGCATAGACTCCTGCTGGAACTAGGGAAAAATTGCTCTTTGCAGGAGAGGATGTCAGTTCTAAGTCCTAAATTTGGGATCCCAGGAGATGCCCAAGTTATGGGGAGCCTGTGAGGTGTCTTCCTCTCCAACTTAGTTTATAAAGTTTCCTCAAACCACCCCTACCCTACTCTTTGGCTCAGTAGGTTGCCCATAGGAAGGGCCTGGAGCAGTTAATGGTCTTTTGATATTCTTTGGGAGGCCTTTGTCAGTCTTTAGACCTTAATTCTGCATCTCAATGACTTTCCAAGAGCCTGACAAGTTTCCTTTGTGCCAAAAACCTCTATGTCTTTGTCTGGTTTCCATTTTAGACAATGTTATCGTCACCCCCCACCCCACCTTACCAACTCCCACCCACTTCTTGCCTGAAATAGTACTTTCTCTTCATTATACTTATCTTTCTGGAAAATGCATCAGATTACCATGTGTAGGTATAGGGGAAAACTCAGCACACTGGTAACTAAGCTTTGGGTAAAGCTCAAGTTGATGTTGACGGACCCCACGGGTGGCTTATGTGAGTTGGGACCAGAGAAAGATGGCCATCTTCTCCCACTCTGCCTCTGCCACCCGGACCCTCTGGGAAGACTAGTAAAGTCTGAGATGAGCCCCTGAGTCCCACCAGCCCCACCAGGTGGGTGTCAGGCCTCACCTGAAGTCCTCTTGGTCATCCAGGAATGGGAGTTGATCCCCACCACCCAATTTCTTGGAGAGCCACAGACTCAGGCTGGAGTGAGGGTTTGCTCTTTGCAGGAAAGGAGAGGCCAGTCCCAGGCCTTACCCAGGGTTTCAGGGTTCTTGTCTCGCCTTGCAGAAAAGAATTTCAGGAAGAGATGGGCAGTGAAGTGGAACAGATTTTTATTAAGAGGTTTTTGAAGGTATGGAAGGGAGAGAGAGTAACCGCTCAAAGGCAGATCCAGGCTTTTCTAAGGGTGCCCCCTGCACATACCAGCATTAGATATAAAAGTCCACATCTCAAGAGGGGACATGCGGGCAACACATGTGCTTGCCACATGGGCACGAGCAGCACATGGGCTCAGGCAGCATATGTGATTCCTTTGCTCAAGGTGGCTTTTATAGGGTCTCTTCTGGGGGATATCTTGGTCTGGAATGTTCTGAAGTCCTCTCTGAACTGAATCGCTAAAGTTAATTGAATTAAGGCAGAGGTCAGAGGTTATTTGAGGAATTTCCTTTATGGGGGAGGGGGTCCAATCTCCCCAGGGTCTGCTGCTGAAGGTCCTATCTTGGGTCTTGTTCAACCTTAAGATTTTCACTTGCCAGGAATTTCATTGTAAATTCTGGTGGCTCTCTTCCCTAGAAGTTTCATTGCCATGGGGCCCTTCCCTGTATATGCCTGCCTATATCAATGCGTATGTATGTTTGTATATATGCCTTATGTATATAAACCCATGGGTTCTTGGTGGAAAGATGTGAATAAAAAGAAATTAAGGAATCTGTGTATTACCTGTGTGGTATTTAAAAGATTACTTAATAACAGTAAATAGAATTACTACTAATCCTAAGCACACAGCAACTCAAGAAAATATGTTAATAAAGCATAATTATGATTCCATAAAAATGGGGCAATATGGTTAAATAATGAGATTTTCCAACTTGCCTTCTTAGATACAACTTGAAATAAATTTCCTTAGTTTAACAAAGTAGATTCTGAAATAATCTGCTAATGTGAATCCTGACTAAAAAGTCAAGATCATCGGTATTAAAATGAGAATAATTGCAGTGTTCATAAACTCTAGTTCACTGAGGATAGAGAGAAGATTATGTCTGATGCAGACTCATGCTTATAATTTTAGAACTTTTGGTTATGATTTTCAAATGTTTAAAAAGTCTAATAGATAATAATATTCACTTACTTATCCCTATGATGAATACCCATTACCGATGAGCATGGTTTTATTATTTCTTTTATTTTTAAATACGTAAAGAATTAGCTTTTCAATTAAAAATTTACCTGCCTATCCTTTACCTTCTCTTTTTTCCCAGAAGCCATCATCATTCTGAAGTTTATGTTTGACATTCTAGTGTACGTTTTTATATAACGTTTCTTATAAGTGAATCCCTACCCTATCGTATCATTAAGCATTAAACACTCTTAACAGCATTTAGAATGCAAGTCAATTTGTAACATCTTTCTATGGCTCAACATCATGATTTGAGCATCTGCCCCAAGGTATAAACATGCCACAAATATGGAGACAAGCATTCAATATTGCACAGATATTTAATCATGCATTTAACAAAATTTATGGTTCACCCACAGGGTGAGTTGATGCTGACAGTTTTTTCATTAATGACAAGCAGACAAAAATGGACACAAGAAACTAAAGTGAAAATAGGGAAAGAAAACAGGCTTATTTGCAAATGAAATTTTACTTATTACACCTTAGAAGCAGCAAGAAGGAAATCTATCCTAGTGAGAACTGTATCTGTGAAGGATTTAGCGAAATCAGTGGGGTTTTGTTTTGATTTGAGGGTGCCAGGAATCGAATACAGGGTCCCACACTTAAAAAGTATGTTCACTATCATGTAATCACATCTTCAGCGACATCTTTGAGAGAGCTGATGATTCTCTGTCCTTGCCCTGTTTCCCACCCGCATCTGCAAATTTTCTCTCCTACTAAGGGTGCTCCTTAGAACTTGACTAGAATTAATCGTACTTCACAGTCTGTAAAAGCTGAGGGTTAGGTGGGTGAGTTCTTTTATGCCTTATCATGTATGAACCCTACTTCTATTTCGTATTGACATGAGAAGTGCATCAGCTGTTCCATTCAGTTACCTCTTATATTTTGATGGACTGAGAAATTTTTTTTTCACATTTTGTGTATTAAAATAATGGAAATAGGGGCTGGAACAATAGAACAGAGAGTAGGGCATTTGCCTTGCATGTGGCCAACTCAGGTTAGATTTCCAGCATCCCATATGGTCCCCCAACCACTGCCAAGAGTAATTCCTGAGTGTAGAACCAGGAGTAACCCCTGAGCATCACCAGGTGTGATCCCTCCCCAAAATAAAGGCAAAAAGTAGAAATAAAAATAAAATTTTCAATGCATAAAGTTGAGTATCTGATTTGATATCAGATCTGCATGACGTGTTATATATACATGCACTTTCCTCTGTTTACCATATTTCTCTCTGTCTCAGAGAAACCCCTTTCATGCAGAAGATCTTTAAACAAACAGAAGGAACTGCCTACACAGCTTGCTTTGAGGTGGCATCTATGTTTTCAATACTATCTGGCATATTAAAACTCATTTCCGTCCACTAATTACATTTTATTTCTGTTGCATTTCTGGGTATTAAAGCTAAAGGCAAGTGACTTCATACAAATCCAACTGCATGAGGCTTTTTAGGTCATGTAAAACACTAAAAGATTTTGATAAACATATTTGTCTAACAAGGGTAAAATAAATAGCTCTCATTTACTGGCATTCTTTTTTTGTCATTCCGCTATATATCTCTCCTGTGTGGCTATTTTATAGAACATAAAGTGTAGGTATGTAAGGTTGGAATCTCAGATCTTATTTAAAGGTTTTTACAAAGTGGCTTATTGTCATTTATAATTTGTTAAACTTGGTTTATTCACATCTTTCCCCCAAGAACCTATGGTTTATATACATAAAGCATACATTCAAATTTACACACACTTAAGTTTTACCCAGAGTTGTCATATAGTTACAATTATAGTACCAAAATTTTATATGAAACTTTCCTATTTGTTTTTTTTTTTATCTAAGAATATGTTTGGGGAAAGCAGTCATCATATTTTTTTTTCATTATGAATGTTTATCTTTTGCCTCTAGGTGGATCGGATCATCTTCTGTGTTTTCTTAGAAGTTGACTTCAAAATCTACAAAAAGAAAATGAGCGAGTTTTTCCCTGTAGGTGAGTAAAGTGACTTGTTTTCTTTAGATTTTGACACCTAAAGAACTGGAGGCTTTGTTTGTTTTATTGCTTTGTTTTGATTATTAAAGAATGTCACACACATGATTTGAGACACCTCTGGAATTTATATTATAAAACATAAGAAATAATGGGAAATGTAAACTTTATACTCTGTCCCAGCAATATTGTGTTGTCCTGAAAAAGTCAGTTCACCTCTTAAGTCTTCATTTCATACATTAAAAGTGAAGAACAGAATCAAATCACTTCTAAATATTTTTTTCTCTGGCCCTCTGTTACAGTGTGTCTGACTTCCTCTCAATGTCCCTCCCAGGCCTGTAGCTTTATCCACCTCAGTGTTAAACGTGTTGGAACTTGTAAAGGGCCCATCTCAGTGTTAAACATTTTGGAACTTGTAACGGGCCCATTTATGTTTGTTGGCAGACTTTTATTTCGGCATTGAATCCCGTTACTCCCTATCTTCTAATGACTTAAATCACAGTGAAGATAGTAGCACTCTCTAGTACACTCAAAGAGATAATCATTCAATTTATTTCACACTTCTTTTTCGAACATAAGAGAAACCTCAGGGTTACAAAAGAACCTGATTAGCAATGGATTGACTTTGAGTGTGCCATGGATTGGATTAGGTTAATTTTAATATTTTTTCCTCTTCCAATTTTATAAGGCTGAAACTTGTTTAATACTTAGCTTTTTAATGCCATGATAGTCACAGTGCCAACAGTGCTTTCCACAGACACGGAAAAAATTAATTCCAGGAGATTTTAAGCAACCATGAGTATCACTGGTATTTGTCTTTCAGAGAGCTTTCTTTGGAGATTGTTGGCATGTCCATTTGAAGTTGCTTTTCATGTAACCAGTAACTCTGGCAGGCAGAAAGGACAGAGTAAAGGATCTGGTATATGTTCACCCACATAAGCCATTTGTCATAGCCACAGGGTGGAGAAAAAGGGAAGCCCTGGCCACAGATCCAACCAGGAAGTGAGAAACCGTCAAGAACAGATACAGAAAACTGCTAGAGGTGTGCTTACTCCACACTGCAGTCCAAAGGGGCTAAGTTTTTCTAAGTACTTAGAAGTACTTCTCTAATTTTATAATTTAAAAATAATTCTGCATTTAATTTGGCACTTTAACAATAATATTTCCTAAATGGAACATAATGTAAATTTTTAAAGTTTCCATGTGATAATAAGGGATATTGTGATTGTGATTTTTTTCTCCCCATTTTTCCCTTCGTTTTTTTTTTCTACCCTCCATTATGCCTTTCTTCATGATTTAGTGGTTTAAAGAATATAAAGCAAATAATGACTATTTAATATGTAGCTATTTATATGAGTTGATCTTAATTTCTTTTCCTATAATCTGATGGCTTGTTTCTTTCAATCTCCTTGTTTCACCCTTTCTCTTTATTTCTTATGAAATCACAGTGAGCTGAGTTGATTGTGCCTGCATTTCTGCTTATAAATTTCTTTTTAAAAGACTGTAGGTTCATTAAAAATTGTGAACTTCTATGCTGTGTGAGGCAGATAGTCTTATGTCTTCTCTATTGCAACATAGTCTAAATTTTATAAAGTTAGACTTCTTGACGTGTTTAAAAGTGATGACATAATGTTCATTTTTATGTTTTCAAAGATGAAAACTTGTTTTCATTCTAACATATGATACACAATAATTGCAAAATTATGATCCATTGCTATGAAAACAAATCTATCCATCAGCAGATTTCCCAATGATGAGAAGTCAAAAATTATGCATGAATATCTTTTAAAAAATGACAGGTTTAGTAGTCTTAGACTGTATTAATTAATAACAATACAAAGAAACAATTGTTTGAAACACTGATACTATAAATAGGCCAAATTATATCTTACACTGAACTAGGGAAATAAAATAATCCTTAGAGTCACTTCAATGCTATGAATCATACCATGCTCAAGAAATTATTTCTAGTACATATTTATAATATGTACATTTAAAAAATAAATGTCAAAATCTTCTAAAATTATTTAGTATTTCTGCAATACTAGCATAAGTCATTTGTAAATTATAAATAAACAATATTAGAACAAAGAATTGGATGGAATATGTGACATAATACAGATGGTAATGTTAGCTGTTCTTGACTGAAAATTATGGTTAAGACATAACCATACAATCTATTATTGGAATAAAATGATTCTCACTTGCCATCTAGTCTCTTAGATTGGCTGTTTCAGAGAATACCTAACTAATATTCTAACCTTTGCCAATGCAATATTGATAATAGTTTAAGGAGGGAAAAGCCTGGCAAGCTACCTGTGACATATTCGATATACCAAACACAGTAACAATTATCACAATGGAGATGTTACTGGGCCCACTGGAGTAAACTGATGAACAACGGGAGGACAGTGACAGTGATTAGTCACTGAACAAATCATAATGATTTTGTTTTTCAGAACATCTTCAGGGAAATATGAGGTGAACTCCTAAGTTACATTTTGTGCCTTGAACAAATATTATTAATTTTATCTTCTTCCCCACATTTTTCAAAACTCTAATACTTTTCTTTCTTTTGATTTTTCTGATTTAATACCTGCAAACGTTTCTTGAAAAAATTATTATGTGAGACAAATTAGCATATTTCATAGACCTTAAAATCAACTCCCCTCTAAATATTCTAGCAGGTGGTCACAGGGAATCCAAGTCACCTTCCTAGCAGAATAACTACCAGGAAAGGTAGAAGAGGGCTTATGTTAGTCAGCTTGGATTACGGTAATAAAGTACCACAGATTGGTGGCTCAAACAGCTGAAATTCATTTTCCTATAATGTTGGAGTTTAGGCCTCTAGGACTAAGGTATCCTAAGGCAGGGACCTCTCTTATTGGCTGTTAAATATCCCTTTTCTTCCTGTGTCTTCATCAGATTTGGCGCTATGTTCTAAACTGAAACCGGTCATATTGAAATAGCACCCACCCAAAGAATTTTATTTTAACTTAATTACCTCTTTAAAGACGTATCTCCAAATGCAGTCATATCCTGAGGTGTTAGGTATTAACACATGCCACACATGACCTTAGGAATACAGTTTGCTCACATCAGGGCTCACTAGGAATGCAGTAGGAATCCCAAAGGGAAAAATGACAGGAATTACTTTTAGACAGCTTTATATCTTGCTGAGGGTGTGAAACATTTGACTTTTTTCTTTGAAATGTATTATTTGGGTGTATAGTGTGGCATATTTATTGAATTACCATAGACTTTGGTTGTGAAAAATATATAGTTACAATATACTATTATATGGTCTACAGCAAGTATTTGTATGATTCAACTCATAAATAGAATTTATTTACATGAAAGGCTTATATTTTTCAGGGGTGATATTTATGTTGTAATTGGTTACAAAAAGAAAATAGATAATACTTCATCTGAAATATGGACTACTTTTTAAATTAGCATCTACAGAATCTAAATAGTCTCTGTAGAGAACTGAACAATGCTGTTTTTTTTGTTGTTTGTTTGTTTTAAAATGACAACACAGCTATGTCTCTTTCTTTTCCCAGTTTAAGAAAAGTCTGCATTTATTTTCTGCAGTGGTTCTCAGCTATTGGTGATTTTTGCTAAGGAAAATTTTGAGATACTTAGATATTTTGCAGCAGGGAGGGGAAAGGCTATTGGTATGCAATGGGAGGGAATACGTCTCCTTTGAAATATCCTATGATGTTTAGGATAGCTTCCCACAGTAAAGAATTATCCAGTTACAAGCATGAATGGAATAATAACTAAGAAACTCTGATTTGTACCCATCCCTCTTTTACCATTGGTGCAAACAGGCAGATTTTGTTTCATTGTGTTTCATAGTGTTTTATGTTGATATTTTACATCAGTGTATCTATTTTGCTGGCTTTGGAATCTGTGTCTTCTCTGGACCTCTGGCGTTTTGGATTCATAACCCTCTTCTGGTTTAGACTTTTAGCTTTTCTTCTCTCTGTTCTATACTCACAGATACCTCTGTTTGTTGTTTGAAGCTTGTTAAACACTTTGACCCAATTCCCACTGCAGCTTCCAAAGACTCATAGCTACCACCATACATTCTTGGAATCATCCATTCATATTACCTATGGCCCAAATTCAACAGCCTCACAAAATGTTAAGTCAAATATAGGTTATATTCATCTAATAAGTAAGTGTGGCGGAACAGGATAATACCCTGAATAAAGAAGAAAAATTTCAGCCAGATTCCCTCTATGTGCACAAGAAAGGTACTTTTCATCTTGTCTGGGAGTTTTTACTATTATCACTGCCCACTGGTTGATAATATTACAATGTGAACAAACTAATATGTTTGAATTTCAGAACTATTTCTGATACTACCTAAATTGCATGGATTCATTAACAATGAAAAAAAATTCTGACTAAAAATTATATTCAGTCATATTCTCTTTATGTTTTAATAATAAAAAAATGTGTTGATTTTTAGCTTAGTAATGTGCATATTTAATATTTTAGACTTTTATGTAATATTATTGAGTACAATTCATATATTTTAAATAATAACATGTATTGGTTCTTACAATTAGTATGAGCAGAATTTGAGTAGTTACTCTCACCCTGCTCTTCCTAATTCTCAGAACTTTTGTTTTGTTATTTTGGTGTCATTCATATGGGCTGGAGCAATAGCCCAGAGGATAGGGTGTTTGCCTTGCATGCAGCTGATTGGGCCAACCCTGGTTCAATTCCTCTGCCCCTCTTGGAGAGCCTGGCAAGGTTCCGAGACTATCTCGCCCCCACGGCAAAGCCTAGCAAGCTACCCGTGACATATTCGATATGCCAAACACAGTAACAAGTGTACAATGGAGAGGTTACTGGGCCCACTCAAGCAAATCGATGAAAAATGGAAGGACAGTGACAGTGACAGTCATTCTTATACAGAAAACAATGTAATTAGTATCAATGTATAGTCTTTTTAGGGTTGGAACGATAGCACAGTGGGTAGGGCATTA